AGGAAGCACAAGCTGAAGACGTCGGCGCAGGCGGAGCGGGAGCAGCGACGCAGAGCCAGGAGGAAAGAGGCCAACGAGAGCCACCGGAGGCGTTTCCACCGCAACCTGCTGAAGGCGGGGCTTCTGTGCGAGAAGGTGAGGGCTCCTCCCCTCGGTTCCTCCAGAGGCTCCGCCTCCCCAACCCCATGTACCAACACGTCCCCAACAAGCCGCTGGACTACTACACATGCGCCTTCCGCCGCTCCAAACTACAGAGGTGGGTGTGGCCGGAGGGACCGTCACACACATGTAGCGTGTAGTCACTCCTGATTGGAGGATTGTGTCATCCTTCCAGTCTCATCACTAGTGGATAACCTTTACCCGAACATCCTGTCCCCGTATACCCCAACCCCGTATACCCCGTCTCTGACCACCTCATGTGGAATGTCCCGTCTCACACACTGTATTCATGACGTGTGGCCCTTTGATGAGGTCAGGTGATTTGGATGCGAAGGGGCGGGGCTCGGAGTGTGCATTGTGTAATGGACTTCCTCCGTTTGTCTCAGGGGCCCTATGAGATGCCGGAGTATGAGGTGGCCCTGGAGAGCCTGAACCCTCGTCAGATCCTCTACCAGTACTGGGCGCGGTGGTCACAATGGTACAAATATCAGCCGCTGGACCACATACGGGAGTATTTTGGAGAAAAGGTCGCCATATACTTCGCCTGGCTGGGTACGTACGCAACTCTGTTTATGATCAGTGTGTATGTGAAACGCGTCCCCCTGTCGGTGGCCACGGCCTGTGAAACGCGTCCCCCTGTCGGTGGCCACGGCCTGTGAAACGCGACCCCCTGTCGGTGGCCATGGCCTGTGAAACGCGACCCCCTGTCGGTGGCCAAGGCCTGTGAAATGCGACCCCGTCGGTGGCCTTGGCCTGTGAAACGCGTCCCCCTGTCGGTGGTCGGACGGCCTCTGATGATGATGACGGTATCCGAGGAGGAAGATCTCCTGAAGTCATTCTGGTCCTGTTTTCCTCTCCAGGTTTCTACACGGCCTGGCTCCTCCCAGCTGCCGTTGTTGGAACCGGCGTCTTTGTTTCCGGCCTCCTGACCATGGGGAGTAACACAGCCGCGTGAGTGTGAGGGGCCCCTGGGTCCCCCGTCATGTCTTGTCTGGCTCCCACACGCTGAGCAGGCCAGAAGGTGGCTGACTTGTACTATCTTGTACCCGGCAGGCAGCAAGTCTGTGAGAGTGGGAGGGACTTCCTGATGTGCCCCCTGTGTGACACGTGTAAGACGTGGTTCATCTCGGAGACCTGCCCCATGGCGAAGGTGGGTGGAGTCCTGTGTAACGGGCCGTCCAATGAGGGGCCTCCGCTCACCATGACTTCCATCTTCCAGGTCGGGTATCTCTTTGACCACCCGGGGACGGTCTTCTTCAGCATCTTCATGTCCTTCTGGGCCGTCTCCTTCCTGGAGTACTGGAAGAGGAAGAACGCCACCTTGGCCCATCATTGGGACTGCATGGACTTCCAGGAGGAGGAGGTGAGGCTCATCGACCCGGAGTCACGCATAGCTATTGGGGGACCTCAAGTGGGTCAGAACAACAATCAGCACGTTGGTCCTGGCTGGCCGATCCAAGCCAACCATTGTCAGGTGACCCATTCAGGTTCTCCGAGTGTTCCCG